GTGCAGGCTGAACTAGTGCAGCGAGTTCAGTGAACTGACTGCCCTAGGTCTGGAGGTAGAGCAAGCAGTGCAGGGCAGCTAACCGAAAAAATTTAAATTTGTATCTATAACCTGTAAAATCGGTATACCTAGTTGACATTACGTAGAAGAAATAATCCGACGACGGAATCTATAAACAGTAAGTAAATACTTAAATATATAATAAATATATAATGTAGATAAATATATAATAAATATATAATGTAGAATGACATAAAAGAAGTATTTAGAATGTTATCCAAACAGCACAAAATATCCGAAAGACATCCTGGGAAGGCTCTTGGATGTTTTTTCGGAGGGATTTGTTGTGTGGGTATCCAACACAAAACAGTTTTTAAAAGAAATAGGATTGTTCAATAAAACATAAAATGCTATAAGTGCGAAAACATGACCATAAATTGATCTATGTTATTTAATCCAGCCATGTTGTCCGCCATCTTACACTGCTCTAACTTGCTCTTAGGGCTATCGCACACAAATTGACATAACTGCATATGCATAGCATAAGACCGTATGTACCAATGAGCATCGAGTATTAAGTCGCCATATTGGTGTTCGATGCTTACTATTCGATGCTCATTGGTCCATACGATCTTATGCTGTGCATATGCAGTTATGTCAATTTGTGTGCGATAGCCCTTACCCGTTCTTTTCAGACCCATATGTATCTTTGCACTGGTCTGCACTATCTTGAACTTTCTTCAACTAGTACAGTTCCAGTGCAGCCCTAGGTCAGGTCGAAAGAACAAACCTATTATCCATCCCTGGTTGTGGCCAAACTCTGTAGTCTGTTCTTTTCAGCTGCACTGCTGAACTGGTGCAATAGGTTAGAGAAAATATATACTTGTCTCAGTTTAACTTATTGCACTAGTTCAGTAGTGCAGCTAAAAAGTACAAACCACTGATTAGAGTGACTCTACTATACAGGAGGTACAAACTCCCTCTTGTAAAAATTGGAACCCGTTTATAGTCGCGCCCTCTGCAATAGTCTCCGGATGTGGCCGAACTACGGCTGCGTTTGGAAACGTCACTCGAGTACTCTTCCTCTCTTTTTATCTCACTCTTGTATTTCGCTCACTCCAACGTAACGGGTACACTTGGGTGACGTTCCCGAACGCAGCCCTGTAGTGTGCACAGTGTGCACGATAGCCATTGGAGTGAGTGAAATACAAGAGTGAAATAAAAAGAGAGGGAGAATACTAGAGTGACGTTTCCGAACGCAGCACCAAACGGGTGACGTTATGCGGAGTGGGGATGCGCGTCAATTAAAATATGAAAATTTTTTTAGAAACAAGTAAAAATCTTGATATTATCAGAGAAGACTATATAAAATTATAGCTTTGGCAATTTTAAGTGATTATAAACGTCAGAATTTACTTAGATAACTTTTTTAATAAAAAACCAACTTAATTTTACACTAACGGAATAATGAAGCTACCTAAAAGATAGTTTAATATTGCCTAAGAAAGTGGTGTTTACATTATTGATTAAAGTTGCATTTTAATATTTAATTTTTGAAATTTTAATTACTGTTAAAGAATTCAAACTTTCTGTCCAATGCAATAGATGTAAATGATGTAAATTAGTACATAAATTATAATAAAAGATAGTATTTTTTGCATATGATGCACAAAAATTATAATTATGTGATGATTATATCATGTATGTACCTAGAGAAAGAAAGAAATATTTGCAGAAAATTTGATTTATATATATTTACTATATATTAAAATTTATTATATATATATATATATATAATAAATTTTAATATATAGTAAATATATATAAATCAAATAAATTTTCTGCAAATATTTATTTCTTTCTCTAGGTACATACATACATGATATAATAGGGAGCGGTGCACTTGGACACGGTGCATTTGGACAGAGCCAATCACAGCACCGTGTGATTAGAGACATTTGTAGGGTCCCTTGGAACAGCGACTTGTGATTGGACTGTGTCCAATTGCCCCGTGTCCAACTGATATACACCCGATATAATATATGTATGTATGTATGTATGTATGTATGTATGATGTATGTATGTATGTATGTATGTATGTATGTATGTATGTATGTATGTATGTATGTATGTATGTATGTATGCATGTATGTATGATGTATGTATGTATATATATATACATATATATGTTTTATGAGAACAGGCGTTTTTTATCAATAATAATAAATTTTTACTTAAGAACATTTAAAAATACTTTCATTTCTTGTTTATAACATTAACATACTAATCATACCTATCTAAGTACAAAATTTATACTCTTGTACTATATCATAAATATCAGAATTGTATTATCTGATAAAATATAATTTTCAGTTCTAGATAGATTCTGTATAAATAAATTAATTTAACATAATTTAAAATTTCCTACAACTCTTATCGTAGAAGAGGAACCTGCATGCTTCTTTCACTGGTTTGTACTTTATATTCTGATATAATCTTGGAATTAACATCACTGACTTCTACCAGCTTTTTTTGCTCCTGTTTAGCTTGCAGTGTCTTCATGTATGCAAGGAAAGTTGTCCAAATTAAGCTGCAGACACTGACATATATAACACGATTTCTCTCCGGAATTAAGCCAAAGTTGATAGTCTGTAGAATGGGCCATATACAAATGGCAACCTATAGAGAAATAGCCTTTCATTAATACCCCTTCACTTCAACAATGACTAATATATCTTAGATATATCATGAGAAAATACCTTGTATGTTGGCCAGAACTTAATTTTGACCTCCTCAATACATTCCGAAACTGGCTTTAATTCAAGAAGGTTCATGCCAAAAAAGAAGGAACACATAGCTGCAGGACTATATGTGACTTGTTCAACCAGAGCCTGTAATTATTATATATTTATTGATTTATTATTTATTTATTAATTGTTTGTAGTTTATTTGTGTATATAATCAAATTTATATATTCAAAGTCAAAGTTTCCACAGCAACTTTAAGTGGTATAAATTGTTTAAATCTCTTTTCTTTGAACATACTTTGGTGATTGCAGACTTCAAGTCATTTTTTGGCCAAAGATAAGACGCAAATCTGATCCAACAGTATAACGTAGGTGCTACATAAAGACTACCGTACAAACTAAATCGCACTGCCTCTCCATAATCAAACTCCTTTTTCCCAGTGATCTTTTGTTGCAGCAGACAACCAGCTGGCCATATGGCCGCGTAGGACACCATACCACGAACGATCGGATATTTTTGCGTGATTTCACGGAATTTCACGAACACAATGCGCATTTTGGTACTCTGTTACAAAACAAAAAACACGTCAAATCGACACAGCGCACTTTTCGAATAATACCGAAATGACACGCCAAAACTGCGCGTGCGTTTTAACGTATTTCAAAAAAGAAATTCGCGACTTTATGAAGAAACAAAGTTTATTTTTTGACTTTATATTGATTGAAGATAAGAAAATTTTATGATGGATCGCCCTATCATTCAGTCTATGATTAGAACAAATCAGATATAAGTTCTCTTGAAAAATAATTATTTTTTTTACTGAGCTCTTTAAGTATTTTGTATTAGTAATCTGTGTTTTCCAAAATCTTTTCTTCATTTATATCACAAATTCATATATAAATCACCAGTTCATGAATGGCATTGTCACTAGTGTTTTTCTACAGATCGAGCGACTCATTACCTTTCGTTATTCTTATCAGAGCAATAAACATCAAGTAAAAATGTTCCGTGACCCCACCTCTGCAAGCTCGCTGCAAAACAAGTTTTGACACACTAAAGCGTTGTGCGCGCGTATTTCGCGGCGAACTGACGATGCATCTGCGGAACCGCGTGACGTGACGACTGACTCTTTTTGCGTCGACGAACACTCACGCCGGGATTCGACGACGATGACGAAACCGGTTGATCCATTCTTATCTGTCCTTGGTCATCGTTACGTTGTGCAACTAGCCGACTACCTACGCGCCTTTTTGGTAACATGTAGTTTGACGATGATCACTCGGTAACATCGGTAATCGTTACCGATTATTGCCTACAAATCAATTTAATAATTAACGCGAATATATTCGCCATAGATCAACTCGAGCCATTTTATATACCTACAAATATTAAAGAGAAAAACTAGAAATACTTCAATTTTATTTCAATATTAATTATATACAGCACACAATAAAAATAAAAAACGGTGGAGTTTCCCGTGAAGTCGTGTATTCAAGAAATATAATTAAAACATGAGACATACGTGTTATGAATCGTTTAACATATATAATTGACTTAACGATCTTGTATGTTGATTTGCAATAAGGAAAATATACTGTACATAAATATAAGTAAATAGATGCATTGTCAGTGGCAAATGGGACTTTGTGTGTACATATAATTACGATAAAATATCTTAAAATGCAGAATATGTGTACAATGATACATAATACAAATTCTGCATAAGACGCGCACGCGTCCAACGACACTTGTAGATAAATTCTTACAAAACTCTAACATTAGAGAACATTAGAGAAAAACTTTATGACGATGTATTGTGCTAATTACGCAAGTATAACTATCCCCTCTGCGTGTATACATATATACTCTTATAGCCAGTTTCTTATTTTGTATATAACGTAGAATCGCAATTTACTAACTGCGATAGAGAATTTATAACGATTCGCTATATAAATATATATAATTATATATATATATCAAATATATAATTATACATGTATTTAATATCGTCATCATAATTTTTGTACAATGGTATTCATGAAGCAAGCTTGCATGATAATCCAACTTAAGTTACAAGGGTTTTCTCTCTAATAAGTGTATAAAAAGACATCCTGAAAACTGTATTTTCCTACTCTCACCACTGTACAAAACAAAAATAGCAGCCGAAACATATGTTATACAAAGGTATTTTTTACAATGTTGCATTAGTTTCTCAAATTTTTAATAGAATAAAAAAATACTGTATATTCTCTTTCAATGATTGCGATTCCCATTTATCTCTAAAATTATATGCACAAATTTTCCTTAATGCCAATTTTAATCATGCCCAAATTGATTTCGCAATGTTTACTGTTGGCACAGTCCATTTTGTAAATCGAAGTGTTACGCTAAATCGACACTCATTACGTTGCGATGTCGAACAAATCACAAATACCCTCGCTCTCACTAAGGTTGAATTGGTAATCTCTTTCTCCTGGTGGTGGGCTGAGTCTCACTAATGGTCCACAAACTGCAAGTGTAATTCAGACATGAAGTTAAAAAGATCACTCTTAAGCGTACAAAAACATATGAAATTTTACTTACAATCAGAATAAAGTAGCTCAAACAAGTCCATATCACTTTGGAAATTGTCTGTAATAATATATTTAACACGCTTTATAAAATTTACATATTACATAAAGTATTTATAATAAATGTCATGTTTTATAACAAAATAAAAACTCAAGTTTTGAAATATTTACCTGTAGTGTCAATGTCACGCAGTATTATCTTGGCTTCTATTAACTCCGAATCTTCTTCCTCTTCCTCATCAGATAATACTGGATCTGGCTTAGTGCTGCTTTTTGGTGGTCTAATAGTTTAATTAAATTACATTCAATATAGTTCTATGTCATTATGTATAAAGACTCAAAAAGCAAGATGTTAATGTGTATTTTGTACCAAATGAATAGATTCATACTTTAATAACTATTCAACCCCTTACAAAATCTGCAATTATTATTTGCTCTGTGCAGACCAGAAATTTTATTTTACAATTTCTGGTGACGATTAGAGCAAGGACTGAGCAAGAAGTGCATTTTTCAATGAAACAGATATTACTCACCTGCCGACTTTCCTCTTTGGTTTTGCAGTAACTTCCTCTTCTTTCTTTTCATCCTCCTCGCTCATACGCTTTGTGCCTTTTAATTCCTCTTGTAACCGCATCTCTAATACTTTATTATCATAGGTTTTAGCTAACTCAGGTTGGATTGTATATACCTTAATTTCTCCTGAAGAACTTTTTAAATGCATGTTGTAATTTAACACTGCATCTTCCTGTATATCAGAAATTATGAAATATAATAACCCTTGTTCTAAACTCTCTTTTATCGATGTATCTCTAAAATAGGCTTATAAGCTACTTTTAGACATTTCTTTTCAATATAAAAAATATTCACAGAATAAAGACTACTGTGTGATATAAGAATATATAATATTAATGCATACCCATATATATATATTAAATATACTGTTCAATTACCTTTTCAAGTATTTTTGAAAGATTTAATACTTTTAATCGTGTATCAGGAGGAGCTTGCATTCCTAGTACATACTGTTCCTGAAAATTCTCCTTCACATCCTCATAAGTAATATATGCATACTTCCTATTTATCACATCGTTCTGTATATTCTTTATACTCTGCTTAATCCACTGTGTATGCATGTCCAATAAATGTTCATGATCTTCTAAATGCCTGATCTCTTCTTTCAGGTCGACCAGCTTGTTCCCAACCTCTTGAGTGTTGCAACCAGGTCCCGCACCCCTTTAATCACAATTCACATAATCATGATTGACACATGTGACAAGAAAGAGATACTTGATATGAAATATAATAGTGCAGAAACAGTATTTTGTGGAAGATGCAGACAAAACTTACTTCCATTGAATGCTGTTTTTACTTTTCTTTTCTATGAGGCCAATACCCTCGAGGACATTTGTGATATCATAGATTCGTCGTTTTTGTCTTACTTCCAAGATGTCTGCAGCCTGTAACACGTTCCAATACACAATAATGCTTTATCAATTGTCGAGAACATCACAACATTTTCGTTTATAGGTTAGGTGAGATTACGTGTTACGTGTCGGAATACCGTAACGCATCGAATACGTCGCGAGGCGACGTAGAGTTTTACTCGCTGAATGAAGCATTCACGATACGGTGAAGGTCGTCGAGCGGTAACGGACAGTACCCTGGCCGCGCACTTCTTTCAAAATTCCCGCAACCGAGAAATGGCGTGAACGCCCGCGATAACTTAACCTTAGTATGGATACAGGTTAACTTTCTCTAACCTCTCTGGCGAAGACAAATACTCACGACTTTCAAGTCTAGCACGCCATCCTTCGCTTTCTGCAGCAAGGTGACGAAGCGGGTAGTCAGTAATCCGAGGGACTTCTCGAATCGACTTTGCTGATTATCTGCCATGCTCGACGTCGTTGTCAAAATTTTCAAAACTCGCTACGTCCCTTCGAAATTGCCGCAACACCACAGACGCCATCCTATTAACGTGCAACGGTCATTCAAATATGAGCGCGTCTCTACTGTCGTTAACGGAACTGGAGATCGAATGAACAATCGCGAACAGTTTCGTGTAAATTTGCCCGAAGAATTACACACAAAAGACGAAATCGTTTGTATTTAAATGTTATATTAAAAAAAAATATATATATACACTTATATACATATATATAAGATCGCTACTAATTAATTATAATGATTAATTATTACTACACACTTACGTGTTTATAGAAAAAATTTAACAAATTATCTTTATCGTTATTCCTATTTTATCTTTAATTTATTGATACAATCGATTTCAATATAACATATAATTTATTGTTATTTATGAGATTTTATTAAAAACATTATTACCCCAGCTTAAACTACTTAGTATTGCCCGGGTTATCAAGGTGTTAAGGGAATGAAATCAGAGAATAAAAATGAGGTACTCCATCCCAGATAACATGCATGTCTAAAAGATATCGAAAAGATATCTTTTAGACATGCATGTTATCTAGAATGTAGCCTATATTTCCTACAGGTTCCTAGAAAGTAAATGTGTAAAATTTGGTCTAAATCCGCGATTAAAGTTTAACAATAGAAGGAACAGGCAGCAGAAATTTTATATATATACATATATACACACCATAGATATAAGATATATATAGATATAATAACTATATAATAATAAAATAAATAAATATATATAATAGAATGTTTGTCTGTCTGTTCCTTCTATACTGCTGCTGAATATAGGTTATTATATTATTATACCTATAATTAATTTCAAAAATATATATGTACATAATAAAGTAACTTATACATAGATTTATTATAATGTGTTTTAACACTTTACAAAAATCTGTTGATTTTTCACCAGTGGTATAAATATGTATAAAGTGTTAATTACATATAAAAATTATATTTAATTTTATACGAAAATTAAGTTATATTTATAAAAATTATATTATAATAGTTACATGTAAAATATAAATAGTAATTGCAGAGGAGACCAGTTATATGTGTTCATAATACTGTTATCTCAGGTATATTGAATGTCTCTCTATTCCATTGAAATATTACTCAAATGTTTCTAATCCAATGAATATTTTGAAGAAGTTTTACATAGGGGACTTCTAAAAAAAAGCTGAATCCCTTACACATAAAGCTTTTTCAACGACTCGTTAGAATAGTAGAGATATCTACCTCTTAATACTTGAGATAGCAATACTGTGGACAGTTTTCATAGACAGCCGCCGGTCTTTTCTAATATAAACATTTTGAATATATACATTAATAGTAAATATTCTTAAGGAAAAAGAAACTCATTAGTGACTGTTGCATCTGGGCTTTGACTGGAACTAGCGGAACTAAGAGTTTCGTCCTTTATTTTTAACGACGATGAATCCTTGTCTTTGCCTTTATCCTTTTCCTTATCTTTACCCTTATCTTTTTCCTTTTTTTCCTTATCTTTAGTATGCTTATGATCGTGCTTGTGCTTGTGTTTATGTTTATGCTTTTTCTTATCCTTCTTCTTTTTCTTATTCTGTAACAAATACATCAATATATTATTAACTGTAGATTTTTTTAATCACAGAGAGGTTTTCTACCAAATAAAATCTTTGTTTACCTTATTGCTGGAATCATTTTTCGGCTTATGTTCCTCTGATTCCTTTTTGAACATCCCCGGTTCAAAGCCTACAGGACCCGGAGTTCCCATGATGCCAGGCAAAGATGCTGAATTATCGCTATAATACTCAGATTTCACTTTACCTTCGCCAGGCACTGGAATCCCCCGTTCATCCTGCTTGAAATGGCAATACTATACATTTACATTACACGTATTTGACAATAACAAGAGAGAAATAACTGAGAATACGTTATACATACAGTACTTATCGGTTTTGGTCGTTTTACTTCTGGCCCATATTCCACTGCATTCGATGGGGCCAGAGAATCGACATTTGGGGATGGTCTCTTTCTGTTTGAAACAGGTAAATTCTCGACTTCATCAATCGGTTCACGCCTAACGTGTTGTACAGGTGTAACTTTCATCTAAAAAAATATTCATGATTCTATAGAAATATTACAAAGGCACTTTATAATCGTGCAATAAATGTAATCGACAATTTTACTTCACGTTCTGGACTACTTGGCGGACCAGCTTTCCTAGGCTTCGTCAGCATTGCAAGTTCGGGGATAGGAAGACAAAACGGGATTTTTATACCGTACAAGGTGTAGTACAAATCCACCAAATCGCAGCGTAATTTTGCGTCATGTGATAGCATGCCACTAAAAATAACACACGTGCATATTCATCATATGCTACGTTAAAGAAAAATAATTATTGCAAAAGATTGTAATGTCATACTTAATTAAGTTCCATATGCGATCAACTAAATCTGGCTTATCCAGACGGTGTTTGTGTGCTTTCTCGAATGGTGGATTCTCTACCATTAATCTTACAAGTCTATGACGCACACCGGGATGTGGATCCATTTCCGCCATGTCCAAGAGAAATTCTAAGTCTTCCCACTTACCGTCTACGCGAGTGAAATCGACTAACGCCTCTAAAGCCGCGACTCGAATATCTAAAAAAAAAAAGATTGATCAAGTGACTGTCGTAAAAATTATATAATATAATTATATAATAATTATAAATATATTATAATATAACTTGTACAAAATTCTAAGGTTATCAGTATTTATTATCAAATGCATAATTAAAAATTTTACATTTAATTAAAATTTTTTTATTAAAAACATTAATTACTTTTTAATTAAAAGATTTATTATAATTCAAAATTTTACCTATAAATTGCCCATATGCCGCATATGCTCTAAAAAGATGAGGGTTGCTCGGGAGATGACCGAACTTTTGAAGGATACGTATGACTTTAAGACAAGCTACACTAACAGTATATTTGTAGCAAGGTAACAATTTTTCCAAGTTCAAGTTTCTTGTTACTTCTTCCAAGATAGCTTTAGTATCGATTGATAGAGACTCTGCTGTGATAGCGGTCCTACAGCAATAAATGTGGGACATTTATCTTTATTAAGTATATATATTATATTATAGAGCTCGGAATTAGTTGCCCATTTCGATCGATTCTCGAGAGCTATGTCTTCTATCTTCCCCTTGCCGTGAGCAGGTGACAGTCGCAGCTCCAAGCTTGAAGCCGCGACTAGCCGTAACCGTCACTTGCGTGGCCTGCTCACGGCAAGGGGAAGATAGAAGACATAGCTCCCGAGAATCGATCGAAATGGGCAACTAATTCCGAGCTCTATAATATAATATATATAGTTTTAGTTCATAAACTAAGTTTGTGATATCATACCCTTGTTGTACACTGATAACTGGCGTAACAGTAGCACCTAAAGCTTCTATCAATGCAGCTCTATAATAATTGTCGGAATATCTGTTTTTACTATTATCATTGTACTTGAAGAGGTCCATTAAAAAAGCTAAGACTTCTGGCGGACAAATACCGTGAGCGTTGCGTAATCCTGCCATTGCAACTGGTATAGTCTGCGACATACAAGTTTAAAAGCTCAGAGGAAAGATATCACTAAATAATATTTTGATGCGACGAATAACGTACTAACCTTTTGCAGAAAATAATGTTGAAAATTTGAAAAGTTATTTTGCTTAATAATTCGCCGACACGACGCGGACCCAAACAATTTTCTGAATATTGCCAACATTGCTGGTGGACCAGCCCAAGTTGCTACCATGGCATTTGCTACCTGCAAAAATATATAGCATGTACACGTGCGCAAAAATTAAAGGAAATAGTGATATTTAAAGTTAAGGAAAATAGAAAATATTCAGCGATGGCTAACTTTCGTCAAGCAGTGTGCAGCACGAAGTCTAACTTTGTAGTAACAGTGCTCATTTTCGATTGTATCAGTTAATGCTAATCGAGTGGCGGGTGTTGAATGATTCTGTAGAGCATGAATCGCTTCTAATTGTGCGGTAACATCTCTCTCATGTCTCAGCTGATATTGCCACTGATAATCAGGTTGTTCGATTTGTACAGAACGCATGAGTGTCATTTCAGGATCTAGCCTGATCCATAATACTGGCGAATCACTATTAAGAAAAGAATAGACGTTTACAAAGGAGATATATGAAGAAAGCGATTCTTACAATCTGTTTGCAACTACTGCAAAGTTTATAACTCAATATCTTACTCCATAGCAGTGAGATCCATGTCAACCTCTTCTCCAGTGCACAATGGAATTTTCTTTTTCTTATTTCTGCGACTTTTACTGTGACATGTAATATCAGACTTGGCTACTGTACCTTCAATTTGTAACGTGTGCTTAAAAGTACCATCTAATTCTTGAATATTGACTAACAATGTACCAACATATTTTCGAATTCCCCTTTGATGTGTAGTATCCTGTCTAATTTCTAATTCTACCGTATTTCTGTAATATGTATTATAATTGTTCATAATTGTATCATAATTGTTATAGTGCAATAATATAGTTCAAACTAATTCAAATGTAAATAAATGAAGTACCTTTTTCTATTAAATACAAAACTTAAGCTGAATTTTGCATGTCCTCCCGTCCTCACCCATTGATCTATAAAGACTGCCATATCTTTTCCCGTTACAGTAAAAATAGCCTTAGTGAATACATTTGTACTAATTAACATATGTGACCATAAGCCAGAGTCAATTTTCTGTTGTGCAGCGTTAGCTGCTAGAGAGAGTTGCTTATTGAAAACCTACAGAACAAATTAAACATATTATCGATATAATTTTCAGTCCGCGTGATCGCGTTTAGAATTTTAAAAGGAAAAAAACACAAAATATGTTTACTTGAAGCAGTAATTCTTGACCAATTCTGTGTTCCAACATTCTGATAACTAGGTGTGCTTTTTTTCGGAGAACTTTGATGTATTGTGGCGACATTGTGTGCAGATTTCTAATGGGAAAATAATATCCTGGATCAGGCGCTCGAGGTGCAGGAGCTGGAGTATTAGCTGCGATGGGCAATGGTGCTGGTGGTTGAGAAGGATCTAATATTATACCACCAAACTGTTCTTCGTATTTCACAACTTCTTGTAGCTCCTAAAAGGAACATTGAAATAATTAAGTAACTAAACCATAAAAAATGACATATAGGTACTGTAATTTACACACTTACAGATTGAATCCATTCTCTATATTCATTGTTGCCAAAACATTTTTTAGCGTACAATCCTGTTAAATATGTTGAAATACCCTTGGGTAACCACATATCCGACCAATTTTGCATAGAAATGAAGCATCCAAAAAATTGTTCCGCGACTGCCTGTGCCATTGCCTTTTTAGTAATGTACACTTGATCTATGATTGCAGTAGAATGTAACAAATTCGTGCTGTCAATAAATAAGCAATTATAAGTAAATTTTAAATATACTAAACATATAAGAAAAAATTAGACTTACTTCAGAATACTCATAGTAGCGTAAATATTGATGTCTTCGTCTATCTCATCAACAAAGACTTGCTTGTAACAAGAATATGGATATCGATTTGACAAGGTTTCTTCGTAAAATTCGAAAGCTTCATGCATGTATTTCACTGACACTTTCAGGGATGGTAAAAGCTGAGGTAAGCAGAAATGAGTCACTTCATGCATATAAGGATCCACAAAGATTTCAAAGGGTCTATAGAAAGAAAAAACAAATTTACATATTGATTTATTATATAAATGAAATTTAATTTAATCTGAATTTCTATATAATTAATTTACCTTGTTTCTCTATATAATTTACTTACCCAACTGCCAGTGCAATATTTGGAGCACACGTTGGAATATTAAGCACATAGTGAAATGTTTTCCTACGCATATCAGGTGTGTAGACAATCTCGATTAGATCTCCACAGGAAACTGCAGTCATTAAGTCATCCACAGTAAATTCTAATTTCCAAGTGCATGGTTCAGCAAAACTATCCACACATGGGAACCATAGTCTCGATGAATTTTCGTAACTATATGTATACATATGTGCACCTTTCTAAAAGATTATTAGAATATACTAGTAAAAAGAATTATATATACTAACATCCTGATGATAGTAAAATAAGTTCACCTCAGCTAAAGTGCCTTCACAATTTGGAACCACAAAATGTACACCTCCTTGTGGCTGCTCCAAGGAAAATTCAATGCTAATCCTTAATCCGCGTCCTTCAGCAACTAAGTGTGCAGCGTCTGGTGGTATTTGAACCACCAGTTCTCCAGAATTATTATCAGGATCAACTTTCTGAGCTGCTGCTAAGTGCATATTTGAAAAGAACTCCAAAGAGCGTCTATAAAAGATTTAATTAATAATTTCTAATAACATTAAAATATATTACAGCATATAAAAGCAAAATTTCTTACTGTTTGCTATCTCCTTGACAGATATCCAAAAATGGATCAAAATATTGGAAAGGAGCTTCATATGTATCATTTAAACATACTCTGTATATTCTGCATTGTTTGGCATTGAGTTTTATCAGTCTCAATGTATCTCGTAGTGGTACAATTGTTAATTCGACAAAGCCCTATATAAGAGAATATAAGGAAAAATTTAATAGTTGAAGTATATTCTTAATGGATTAAACAAATGTTACTTACAATTATGCTTTTTCTTTGGAAACTTATTCCAGTTAAGCTTAATATTTGATGAGCTGTAAAACAGCAATTGTTAATTATTTCAACAGAAGTACCAAAGAAATATACAATTATAAAATTATACATTACTTTGATTTACTTTACATTACATTACTTTACATTACTTTCTTTCTGTGATTATAATTAATAATTAGGAGTATATTAAGAATAAATTAATTTTACTGAAATATTTATTATTGAATTATTTTACTTGTAAACAAAAACATAACCAAACAGAAATTAAATTATGTATTTTAAAACATCTATGTTGTTACATTTCTCTATATCAATAATGTTACTTCTAAAGATACTTATAATTTATATGGACGGCTATTATCAGCTGTTTTTTCTTTCTTCATCTTTTCAATTATACTTAATCCCTTTTATATTTACAGGAATAGAAGAGTTTAAAACATGACTGACAACATCTAGGTCTGTTCTGTAACTTAACGATAGTAGTGGGTTAGGTAGTTCAGTTCAGTTGGTCTGTTCTTTTCAGCTGCACTGTTGAACTGGTGCAATAAGTTAATGGCTTCTGCACACAGGACGCAGTAATGCTTGCCGCGAGGCGGAGTCCGCGCAATAGCCAATCAATATGTTGTTTTTCCGTAAGAGCTAAAAGATTATTACGGAAAGCAGCATATTGATTGGTTGTCGCGTAAACTTCCGCCGCGTGACAGCCAATTAATATGTTATTTTTCCGTAAAAGCTAGGAGGTTATTACGGAAAGCAGCATATTGATTGGCTGTGGCGTGAACTTCCGCCGCGCGGTTAAGCATTACCGCGTCCTGTGTGCAGGAGCCATTAATGCTCGCAACGCCGCGAGCGTCAATGGGCGCATTCAGTAGAAAAAGCGCTCAGTGAGCAATCAACGATTATTGGTTCTTGCTATTAGATCCCTAAATCTAGACCAATTACATTGACAAATTACTCAACTGTTGTGCAACTGTTGAGTCTGCTGAATGCAGCCAATGGTTACGTTCAGAAAACATAGCTGATCAGTGAGCGGTCAGTAATTATTGGTCCTTACTGTTAGATCCCTAACTTTAGACCAATTACATTGACAAATTACTTAACTGTTGTGCAACTGTTGAGTCTGCTGAATGCAGCCAATGGTTGCGTTCATCAGAGAAAGCTGCTTTGCAACTGTTATAAAATTCGTGAATCTGATTGGAGTATGCTCTTAATTTTGATTGAATTCAAGAGCATGTACCAATCAGATTCACGAATTTTACAACAGTGTAAAGCAGCTTTCTCTGCTGAACACAGCCATTCTAATGGCTCCTGCACACAGGGCTGCGTTCAGATTCCCCACCCGGGTGTATTCTATTACTAGAAGTGCTATAGTATATGTCACATATACTATAGTGTTTCTAGTAATAGAGTGCACCCGGATGAGGAATCTGAACGCACTCCAGGACGCGGTAATGCTTGCCGCGCGGCGGAAGTTCGCGCGACAGCCAATCAATATGCTGCTTTCCGTAATAACCTTCTAGCTCTTACGAAAAAACAACATATTGATTAGCTGTCGCGCGAACTTCTGCCGCGCGACAAGCATTACCGCGTCCTGTGTGCAGGAGCCATATCTTTGTTGCTGGAGGCGTTACGAGCGTTAAGTGGACCAAACTAACCAACCAAACGCTACCATGGGCCTGTATTCATAGTCAAATCTTATTTCAAGACCGTCTTAAGTAATGTCTTAAGATACGAATACAGCTCTGTGATTGGTTCATGACATCTTAAGACAGTACTTAAGATGATCTTAAATATAAGATCGGACTATGAATACTGACTATGGTCACGAAACGAAAAAACACCTTTATAGCTCCTGCCCACAGGACGCGATAACGCTTGCCGCGTTCTGTGTGCAGGAGCCATATCTTTGTTGCTGGAGGCGTTACGAGCGTTAAGTGGACCAAACTAACCAACCAAACGCTACCATGGGCCTGTATTCATAGTCAAATCTTATTTCAAGACCGTCTTAAGTAATGTCTTAAGATACGAATACAGCTCTGTGATTGGTTCATGACATCTTAAGACAGTACTTAAGATGATCTTAAATATAAGATCGGACTATGAATACTGACTATGGTCACGAAACGAAAAAACACCTTTATAGCTCCTGCCCACAGGACGCGATAACGCTTGCCGCGCGGCGAAAGTTCGTGCGACAGCGAATCAATATGCTGCCTTCCGTAATAACCTTGTAGCTCTTACGAAAAAACAACATATTGATTGGCTGTTACGCGAACTTCCGCCGCGCGGCAAGCGTTGCCGCGTTCTGTGTGCAGGAGCCATTAGAGTGAAAAACATATACTTGTCTTACATTAATTTATTGCACCAAGGCAGCGATCATGTAACTTTTCCCCTAGGGCGGAAACGTGAAAAGTAAAATGTGAACTCGTGATTAGGGTTGAGTTTTTCGAGCATTTTTTCGGGTTTTCTACATTATATAGTAAAATACATATAATACGTATAAAAACGCATAAAACGTGTAATACCTAGGATTGCTTACTGAATAGAAATACTCTATTCTGATTGTCCGTCTTCAGAAATACATCAATCAGAACAGAGTATTTCCATCCAGCAAGCAATCCAGCATGAAAACAAGCATCGTGTGCCACTGGCTTTACTTAAATAAACTAATCATAATAAATAAATCTTAGTTCTTTTTGCCTTGATTGGCCACTTAAATGTACTCTACTAATCGAATAGGATTTCTGAACGCAGCTCTGTCACAGTATATACAGTAGCGCATCTCTCTTATAGCGAATTCGGTAGCTTGCACTAGTGCGCACTGAGTGCGCAT